ATTATCGGATGTAAAGTGTACATCATATTTGTTACTATGTATTTAAGCTACACATTCATAAATGCTGTTCATACATCGATTATTTTATTGTCTATCATACGTAATAAACAAACAATTTGAGGAGGAAGACAAAAGAGGAAGTTTAAAGTTGAAAGTCTATTTAGAAGGAATTATAGGAATTGAAGAGGGAGGTTGATTATGAGTACAGTGGTGCTATGCTAGTCAAACTAATCCCTTTATGGTTGTCACTGGATGATTTTGACCCTCTGTTCTGTACTGGGACGATAAGTGATTGTGATCAGTCGGATATGATTACGGCCATCTCTGAGATTTTAGCTAAGATAATAGTTAACCTGATCACTAAAATTGAACCATCATCCTCAAAGACCTTTGGAGTCAATCCATATGTACCAGCTGCCCTTCCTCGTTTCAGATTACCTATAGCCTTTCGAGCTTCAGTTAGAGTTGGGGGACCTACTTTAATGTTCCATTCACACTTTCTGGGAATGGTGGGTATTCGTAGAGTAGCTGAGGGCCAAATGAACTGTTCTCAGCACGGATTTGAAAAGCTCGTTTTGATTTCGCCAAGTTACGTCACGTATGGGCACAGATGTATTAGAAATATTGCTGGCATCTCCTAGGATCAACGGGTAAGTAATCGTGGGGTTAGACACATGGTATTAGGGAATGATGGTAAATCAGTTGATGAGGTTGTAAATCTTCATCGACTGAGATGGTTGGGTCACATTTTGCGTACTAATTCTTTCTTCCTGTACTATATCCTCACATGCAATCTTTCTTTTATATATTACCACCATTGACTTAAATACTCCTATAAATCCGGTATTCATCTTGCTGTGCTAATGCGGTATGGAAACTTGAACCGATGCATATATATGCCTGATGCTACGGTGGAGCTGACTGACTGACTGAATAATCATACAATTGAGACTATCCAAAATTCATTTGAATACAATAAGATGTAAAGTTGATGAGTTAACCTAATTGGTTCAACTTACACGACGTTTACAAGCAGCATATTTGAATCGAAGCAATTGATAAAACAGCCATAGTAATTCGATACGTTCAAGGGGTAATCCATGTTAGATATTGACCGCAAGGTGTGACTTGGAAGTTAGCTGGTTCCCCACATCATTCCCGACTAAATCGAATAGGTCTTCAATCATTTGATATAGACAATATACGTTAAAGATCTACAAACTGTATTGTAAACATGTTCATTTCAGATTAGTGTTTGAAATTCAAAATGCTACTATTAGTTCTTCGATGATGAGTGGACACAGAAACTCTTTCCATTCAAATCACACAAAAAGGACAAAATGTTAATCTGATGTGTAATGGAATTAGTTGACCATGTTGAAATGTACATTTACGTATAGAAAAACACTTAATGACTTTTCTGACTATCAGTTGGTCAGAAATATTCGTATGAACTTGAGCACATCAATCTCAAATGAATATGAACTACTTACTAACCATATAGTTATTCAATTGAGTTAGCAAACTCTAAAACACAATTCAATATGTATACTAGACTACTGAATACCAATTTCTATGGATTCCTCAATGTATGTGATATTCTCGAACTGTCAGTATAAATATCCTAATTTAAGAAGAAGTTTATCTCAAATAAATTCCCTTAGAATTTGATATTATTGGTATGTGTAGTGCATGATGACTTCTTTTGTACATGAATCTAGTGATGATTTCATTTCTCAGTATAATACTCTCAGTTGTGCTCACTGTGTCCTCCTTGATTTTCATACAGTAGTGTTGGTCATGCTTTTGATTATCACAATGACATTTCTATGTAATCGATTGTTGAACAGTTACACATCAATTGAAATGGGTGGATGTTTGAAGACCACATGAGGCGATCTTGAATGTGTGGTATGACGAGAAAAAATATCAAAGAGAATAAAGCCTCAGCTAACGATGTGTATAACATGATAACGAATCTGGCATGTGTGGACAAATCATGATCGTAATCACATGAATGTCTTAATTATAAAGAATAACTATTTAATCATATACAGACAGGAAACTAACACAGATGCACCAGTGGCAGATTTGAAACCAGACAACTCAAATAAGATTAGGTGGATTGGTAGTTTTGGGCCATCATTACGTGAAACCGATTGGTAATTTATTGTACTTTATGTGTCATCACCTGATATAGTAATGGGATGCTGTTTTTGATGGAGTTTTGTTCTCTGAGCTGGATGATTTGGTCGTGGAGCTTTCATCGTTCTTTTGAACGACATTATCAGCACAAACTTCAGATGGAACTGAAGTGTTCCAACATCTCATTGTGAGGTGTATTTCAAGAAATTCTGGAAACCCGGACTGCAAGATAAACGGTTTTCGAAAGCTAGGCTACTGTTTAAAGAGCTATATCAAATAATACGAATTCACAAAACACGAAAAACGACCTATCGTCGAGAGAGTATTTAATGCAGATAGGAAAAAGCAATAAACGTCCAGTTGAATTAATAATTCGACAACCAATCAATATATTTTACTAGTATTATTCAGAGTTGGGATTATATGAGAGGATGTAACAAGGTTCCATATGACTCTTCGAGCACATCTATGTAAGGTATAGTGTTCTGAAACGAGGGTTAATTTCCATGTTCCTGCCAAATCATTAATATTGTTTTTCTATCGTATTGTTGCTTCTTTCTAAAATAAAAGACCATTGTAAGGATAGAAAATCTCTCCTCATTTAACTACTGTATTCAGTTATCATTAACAACGACTACCGACAAGGTATAGTGGAGTAGAGAGCAATGTAATATTAATAACAGAAGGTAGAAAGTTGTTACGGTTGTAAAATTACTGACTAAAAACCTGGATCAATACATTTGACTAGACGACTACAATGTGTTGTAAGTTTATTTAACTAAGAACTTTTATACATATCATCAGCTGATCTAATATAATTGCGATTTCAAATGTCTAATCTACTTGCATAACATAAACGTAACACATTCAACTCAGAAATTCTATGATCGGAATATCTATTGTTATCTAATGTAGATGGTTTTCATTATAAAATACTGATGAACTTGTGGTGGTCGGTGTTCGATATATTCCTTAAACTCCGTATACAGTTCGTCTCGGTAACCGTCACCAAGTAACGCTCCAACGGTATATTAATCAGAAGGCGAATACGAAGTGTTAATTACGTTTATTATGGGACCACACACAGATATCCAAAATTACAGATGCGTTAAGCAAGCATGAAATAGTTGTGCCGAGAGGCAAACAGGCAAGCGAGCGGGCGAGAGAGAGCAAGAGCAAGAGCGAGAGCGAGCAATCGAGCGAGTGAATGAACGAGCGAACGAGTCCATGAATATGAATAACATGGACATATATATACATAGTGAAATGAATGAATCATCGAGTCAATTAAGCGGTTAATAGTAAAGCTAGTAGCGTGAATAAATGAGTAGGCAGTAAGGTTTGCCGAGCATACATATTCATACAAGGATAACAATAATAAAGGTACATACATTCGCAACAGTAATAAGGATACAATAAGTTATTATAGTGCAGGTGACTTTGTCCGTTTAATAAGTTAATAAAAGGGCTTAACCGAATTAGGTGAGAGCAAACTCAATTGAACGTGAGTTGCTATAAGCTCTTTGTGCTATCTGAGCCTTGCACTTTACAATATTTTGATATATGACACGTTTTTACTCAATAAGCAACCAGCGATTAATTGTTTTTACTTTTCTT